ATTCAACCCAACTAAAAGATTAGGTTCCTAGAACTGGGAACACAGCTAAAGGCATTCAGGTTTCTCCAGAAAACATATACATGAAGAAATATAATAGGAATTAGCCAACACAGTTGTGGAGGCTCAGAGGTCCCATAACCTGAAGACCCAGGAAAACCGGTCGTGTAATTCAGCTTAGTCCAAAGGCCTAAGAATGGGGAAGGAGGTGGGCAGGTAGGGTGCAGTGTGATGGTGCAAGTCCTGGTTCAAATCCAAAAGACTGAGGAACACGAGCACCGATGACTGAGGACAGAAGAGGACAGATGTCCCAGCTCAGGCAGAAAGGCAGTTCACCCTTCGCAGGGTTGCTCTGGTTGGGTGATGTGTTCCTCACTAAATTAGTTACTGTGGGAGAATGGGATGCTCTGAAATGTTTTAGTCCAGATGACACGTGCAATGGGAGATGGAAGAATTTATCAAATGAGCCACATGGATTGAATGTGGAGAAGGGTCATTCCCTCCCAAGCACAGTTGTGTCCTGTTGTCCTGAGAGAGGACCTCTGAGGCTGGGTGGCAAATACCTCACAGGTGTCCATTACACTGGTGGCGGGGAGGAGGTGGCCAAGGTCACCAGAAACTTGTCCAGGGTCTTGAGGGCCCTTCAGCTGATTTAGGAAACTGCATGAGGTATCCACAGGAGGCCCTTCAAGAGCATGATTGAAAATCAAGAGGCCACTCAGAGGCCAATTCAGAACGAGCTCCAGACTTGTGACACCCACTGAATTTATGAAGATGGGAAGCCAGAAACGGCATCGACATTTGACCAGCAGCCAACCACAGAGTGGCATGTTGGGTGATGCGGTCAAAGAGAGTTTGGCAGATTCTCTGATTTAAAAAATGGACAAGATGGTTTTGTTTTATATTTACTTATATTTTTACCCCAGGGAGTCCAATTTGTGGGCATTTGAAGCGAGTGCCTTTGAGGTTTGTATGAATAGTTTTGCTTCCGTTGTTACAGTGAGCATCAGAGCCAGAAGTGCCAGACATTAGTGAAAACTTTCCAGAGCCTGTGGTTCCGGTGAAAGGACCAGCTGTGGGGTGGCAGTGGCTGGAAACCAGGGGAGGGGAGATAACAAGCATGATGAGGTCTCTGAGATTCTTAGGAGATTTACAGTTTGGTTTAGTACTTAAAGATTATTTTTTGTCTAAAATTAGATTTTCCCAAATTATAGTGTCCCTAGATTTACCCTATTTTGTGAGATTTCTGTTATTTCTTGCTGATTGTACCTGAGAATATTTTCTCTTTAATGTTTGCATGTCCAAAATGTCATTTATTCTTCTCTCCTTTATTCATTCAATCAACCAACATTACCCTGAGGGCAAATCAATGTTTCATCTAGAGTAGGAAGATTTCACATCTCCTCTCTCCCACTTCTTCCTTATCATTCCCATTGGTCGTCTAGCTGTCAATCAGCTGCTCATGGATGCCTCTTAGACATTTCAGAGCCAACATCTCCAACACCAAATTTTTGATACCTCTCACCCCACGAAACCCTCTTCTCTTCTAGGCTTTCTCATCTTCAAAAATAGTGCCTCTATCCACCCACTGGCTCAAACTAAAACCTGGGAGGCATTCTTGATGTTTCATTGGACTTCAAAGCTCAATCCAAGCCAGCACCTCGTAGACTCTCAATCAATATTGATCAGACTGACAGGTGGTTAAAGGAGCTGGGGAAAGAATGAACAATGCTTTGAGCTGCCACTCCAGCCAGCACCATCTCAGCCCCTGTAGGCATGGATGTGAGCTCACGTCACAGAGACAGCTTGAGTAAGTGTACAACTGAACACAGATTTTTACATTTTCAAAAACTCCTGCTATTCCTTGGAAACAGATTGTGTTTCTCTGATTGTCTATTAAGTTCTTTTTTTAGCCTGCTGAAGATTTTGGAACCAAACCAAAGTAATCTGCATTTCCATTTTTATATCTTAATTTATAAACGGCACCTTCTAATTTACAAGCACTCACTTAATGTCGCTAGCAGAGCCGAAACAAATACCAACCCTGCCAGCTACCCGAGTCTTCTCTCTGCATCTTTTCTCTCAGAACTTTCTAGATTTCAGGTTGGAGAGGACGGGCTGGAGTCAGCCTGGCTTGGGGAGGATAAGGATAGCAATAATGATATGTTACATTTATATCAGGAAGAGAGAGGCAGTCACTATCTCATGACTCCAACTTTGTAGATGAGGAAATAGAGGCTGAGAGGGAAGCAACAATGACCAGGAAGGTTTGCTGGTGAGCGCTGGAGCCAGGCTTAGAATCTGTATTCTGGAACTCCTCATGCCGAGGGTCCTCCCAGGACACCAGGGCAGGGTCTCTCCACCTGGGCACTAGTGACTTTCTGGACTGCATCATTCTTTGTTTGCATTGCAGGATGTTTCACAGCATCCCTGGCCTCTACCCTAGATGCCAGTTGCATCTTTCTCACTGGGACAAACCCAACATAACTCCAGACATCACCAAGTGTCACCCCTGATTGAGAGCCACCATGCTAGACTGTGTCCTGTCCTTGATGATAAAGAAGGCACAAGGGTCAAGAAAACTCACCTCCTTTCATAGGCCCTCCCCTAGCCCCTGCCGGTCCCCTGCAATCAGAGGTTAGCTGAGAATTGCCCTTTCCACCCCATCACTCAGAATTCTGAGCAGATGCCGAGTACCTCCTGCGTGGCACCAGGTGCTTTACATTCTTGGTCACATTTAACCCCCCAAAGTGGGTACAACTATTTCTGTTTTACAGGTGAGGAGACTGAGGCTTAAACAGGGCACAGCTTGCCTGTGATTGCATAGTTATTGAGAGGCATGCTAGGATGCTAACTCAAACCCATCCAGTCCTCGGGGCAGAGAGCTTACCTTCCTCACCTTTCCTTCTAGCTCCTCTCCAACACAGTGAGAACCAGATTCTCTTTCTTGGCCCAGCAGGAAGGAACTGCATTAGAGAAGCCCTGCCCTCTCCTTCCCATAGCCCAGTGGTTGGCAAACCGCGGCTCTCAAGCCACATGCGGCTCTTTGGCCCCTTGAGTGTTCTAACGCCACTTCTTCAAAATAGACTCGCCTAGGCAGAAAACCTACTTCTGCGCATGGGCCACGAAGTTTCAATTTGCACTGTATGTGCGCCCCCGCACGTGGCATTTTGTGGAAGAGCCACACTCAAGGGGCCAAAGAGCTGCATGTGGCGCATGAGCCAAGGTTTGCCGACCACTGCCATAGCCCATCCCTCTAAAAGCAGGCATATTTCAGGCGTGAAGCACACACATCCATGACTGTGGGTCCAAGTGCCTGCGGCCAGTTGCCCTATCCAGACCGTAGCCTGCATCCTCCGCCCCAGCTTCTCTCAGGGCCTTGCTGAGAGAAGCGTTTGATTCCCCCAGCTGTGGGATGCAGGCCAGCACAGCAGGGAGGCAGTTCCGGAGAAGGAGCCTCCTGGCTCTGTCCTGGGGACTATGGGCAAGCTGAACACATCTCTGAGCTCAATTTTCCCATCCATAAAATGGGAAGACCCACTTCTCAGGGAAGGTGTGAGAATGAAATGAGGAGAGACGCTGACTGGTTCACATCGATGCTAGGTGCTGGATACAGGCTTCCTGCAAGGAAGATCCGACCGCCTCTGTTTTATGTTACCTGCGACGAACTCACTTTCAATTCCTCAACCCCTTTGGTCAGTCTGTGACCCCGTGTACTGTGTGCAGTTACTTCTCTAGGCCCATCCGCCCAGTTAGACTTCCCTGAGGACAGGGCCTGTCCCTTTGCCCCCTCCCACAGTGGCCAGCTGAGACACACTCAGAATGATTGCTGAAGAAGGGATGGCAATGAGGATCTCTGCAGTAACAGCCCTTTGCGCCAGGTGCTGCCTTCTCTGGGTGTGTCTTAATGTAAGAAGCAGTTTGCCTTGGTTAGCAGCCTAATGACGGTGCCCTGGGATTCCTCACTCTGAGCAGTGCGGGCTATTAGCCATCATTCTGGCTCTGCGTTGGCCATTTTCTTTGATTTCCCAGGTGACCGTAGCTTGTGGTAATAAGATTCAAGCCCCGTGGATCAATCGTGCAGAATGCAAGAGGGTGGAGCTCAGTAGGGCCTGGTTACCAGTTCCCATCCCAGGCGCCAATCCCCATCTCTGCCCAGCCACTTACTCCGTAACCACCCACCAGTTACTGGTGCTTTCTGTGCCTCAGTTTCCCCACCAGTACATTGATATTCATAGGAAAGATTAAATGAACAGCGCCTAGCATGCATCACACATGAAATCTCTGTTAACAAGCGCCCCAGTCCTTTCGCTGGGGTGGGTGGGGTGCCGGAGAGCATGGAGTGAGGGGAAACTTTCTCTGCCTTTCCAGCTCTGTGGCAAGCAGCAGGCAGGCCCAGAGAGCAGGGCTACGCAGGGCTGTGGCAGGCTTTCTTTTCTCCATCCCTTCGCCAGGGAAGGTGGCTGGCTTCAGGGACCCCATGGGGTCCTGGGAATGACAGCCAGACCCCCACTGCCCACCGCAAAGGACCAGCGAAGCCATCCCGCCCCGCTCTAGGGCAGCATCCGTTTCATTGCTTCTTTTTAAGGAGCTGCTCAACCTCCTGCACTCTTCAAAGCACCCAGGACGAAATCTCCCTTCCCAGCCTTCAAGCCAGTTCCTGGGCCCTATTTCCCCCACTTTCTCTGCCTTGGTCAGGTTTGACCCTGCAAAAAGCAAAAAGAGCTGGTTGGAGGGACTGCGGGCACCCGGTTCCCACTTCCTTGCGGGCCCCGGGGGCAGGGGTGGGGGTGTCTCCGTCCCAGTCCGGCCCCTCCCCTAAGGGTACCCAACTTTTTCCTCTCCCCGCAGCTCCTGGGGAGGGAACGGGAGGGTCCGGAGGGGTGGCGGCCCGGGGCGCGGCGGGGGCGGGGCGGCCCCTCTCCCCATTGGCCAGAGCGGGCCGCGGGCGCTGGTGCTGATGTCAGGCGGGCGCGGGTGCGGCGGGCGCAGCGGCCGCCCAGCAGCCCGGGCGCGGGTGGGGGGGCGCCGAGTGGGGGTGGCGGCCAGCATGCTGCTAGGCTGCGGCTCGGCCTCCCACACCCGCGGCGCCCTCGTCCTAGCCAGCAGCGGCGGCGGCGGAGCAGCGAGCGGCTCCCGGGGCTGCAGAGGCGCCGGGTCCGAGCGCGCTGCGCGGCGGCGGCGGCGGGGATCCGGATCGGGGCCGGGGCGGGCACCGGGGACCCGGCATGGCGCTGCGGAGGGGAGGCGGCGGGGCGCCCGGGCTGCGGCTGCCGCTGCCGCTGCCGCTGCCGCTGCTGCTGCTTCTGGGCGCCGCGTGCCTGGTCCCGCCGAGCGCGCAGGTGAGGCGGCTGGCGCGCTGCCCCGCCACTTGCAGCTGCACCAAGGAGTCCATCATCTGCGTGGGCTCCTCCTGGGTGCCCAGGGTCGTGCCGGGCGACATCAGCTCCCTGTGAGTCTGCGGGGCCCCTCCAGCCCCCAAGGGAGTTGGGACGGCGCTCCCGGACCCCACTCCTTAGTGGGTTTTCTCGGGATGTGGGTGGGGGCGTGCTGTGGGTGGAGTCTCGGGCCCTGAGGAGGGTGGAGGGGGACCGAGACGCAGAGTCTGGGAACCCGGACAAGTCCCTGCAGAAGTGCTTTCTCCGAGTGTGGCCCGCGAGCCCCCTGAATGGGACCCCCCTGGGGGAGATAGTGCCAGTGCAGATTCTGGGGTGCAGATTCTGGAGCCGCGCTGATGGCTGCAGCGGCTCTTGGGGCCTGAGGGTCTGCATGTGGGGTCCCCAGGGGATTCGGAGGTGCACCAAAGTTTGAGAGGAGGTGTGGGTGGGGGCGGGGCGGGGAGCAGTGTGGAGTATGGGCATGCAGATGCAGTGAGCGTGACTGGAGTGAGTGCACCCAGTAAGGGTGAGGCCTCCCTGTCCCACCTCAAGTCTGGGCTGCGGTTTACACCGTGGCCTCATCCTGACCTCCTCTGCACAGCCCAGGATGGGAAGAACTGAGTAAAGTCATGCAGCCTCCGGAAGAGGGAGGAGGGTGCCCCATGGGGCCTGGAAGAGGGGACCAGGGGCTTGGAGAGTCTCCAGGCAGGTGGGGCATCCAGCCTCGTGGTCAGGTGCTGGAAGTCAGCCTGAGTCCCTGCCCGTAGTCCACGCTGGCTTCCCGCCCCCCCTCTCTCTGCACCACATATTATACTGGCCGCTTTCTCAATGATGGAGGAGCTGATGGGAAAAGCCTCCACATCCTTTACCCACCTACTAAGAGATGCTTTTAACCTGCCCGCACACACGTGGCCTCTCAAGCCGCCTGACCAGCTCTCCTAATGGCTGTGAAGGGGCTCCGGGCGCTCTCTTTCCTGCTGACATGATTCTCTGCTCGGCCAAGGTGCTGGGGATGCCCACTCCACGCAGAGGCAGGGAATGCCCAGGTGCAGCAGCTGTGCCAGGGCACTTCCTCCTGTACTACACTGTCCTGCCTCCCCCCCTGGGCAAGGCACAGAGGCCTGGACCCAGCAGTGAAGGGCTTCCTGTTGGCATTTCTAGGAAGTTAGGAGTCTGGCTGGCAGGCAGAGGCCTTTTTGGTTCCTCCTATTGCTAAATCAGGTGACGTGGAGGAGCCCAGAAATTAGAATTCGCCTCGTTAAAGCCTCCAGACCAGCAGCTGCTCAATCTATCTGCATGCCAACCGAAGGCATTCTGAAATCATGTGTTGAGGTCCTGCTGTGGCCAGAAAGGATGGGGGGTGATGGCAATAATAGAGCCATGCCTCTTGTCCCCCCATTAACCATTCAGTCTGGCAGATGGCATGGCCTCCCACTGCACATCCAAGTTCAGGTGTCTCGGAGTTTCCCCCTAAGGCTTTCACGGTGCATTTAATCAGAAGTGCTTCGAGTGTCTTTCAGAGCTGGGCTCCCAAGGGGAATGCTTAATGCTACTCTGGAGTTCTGTGGGCCAACATGAACGCTGTGTCTACACAAACAGAATCATGGGCAGAGGTGAAGCAATTACCCGTTTGCAGTCAGGGCCTCCTGTAGTAGAGGAAGAGGAAGCGGGGGAATTGAGTTAAACTGGCTGAGATAACGTCTGTGGACATGAACTTGCCTTGCCTTGTTCTTACCCTGTGAAGCCCCGGGCCAGCGGTTTTAAGACTCATTCCGGAGTGGAGGCGTTCTCAGTACAGGTAGAGGGTAAAGGCTCACGGCCCTTCCTGCCCAGAACTTCTCAAACCACCCGGGCCTTGTTTTGTTCCTCGTTTGCCTGCAGGAGCCTGGTAAATGGGACCTTCTCCGAGATCAAGGACCGGATGTTTTCCCATCTGCCTTCCTTGCAGCTGCTGTGAGTATGGCAAGTTCTCCCTGAAAGTGGGGGTCCCCTGAGGTGTGGTCCTGGGAGGAGCAATCTCTGCATCTTTGATATCAATTCTTCCTAAGATGCTCAAGCTCATGAGTAAGTCACGGCTGGTTCTTAGCGGTAACATGGGCTGTGGTGTTCCCACCAAGCTGAGCCTGAAGGCTTAACTCAGTGTCCATTCCTTCTTCTGGCACAAGGATTGGATTATAGATACCAGACCACACATCTGGCAACTAGGAATGTGAGTCCATGGAATTTTGACTAGAGTTTCACCTAAATCAGTGATCAGCAAACTCAGTCAACAGAGTGGCGAGACTTGAGCCACAGTTTGCTGACCACTGACCTAAATGGTCTCTCTCACTTTAAGAGAAAACCTACAGTTTAAATTCTTAATGTTACTCTGGAAATAGCAATATTTCTAGTTGACTGAGTACATAAACTGTTGGGAAGCATACTATGCATTTATATGTAAAATTTTATTTAATCTTCCTATTATCCTGACAAGAAGAGTATCTTTATTTTCCCATTTGACAGATGAGAAAATTGAGGCTCAGAGAAGTTAAGTAACTTGCTCAAAATCACAGTCAGGATTCTAACCCACACTCATAACTATTCTACATCCCAGCCCCTTTTGGCGAGTGCCTATGTCCTGCCCTGTTGCCCAGGCCACTTCATGTTCGCTAATGAAAAGAGATGCCAAGAAAGCAACTTTCAAAAGCAGATTATTGAGAGGCAGTCATGAGTACATAGCACACTCTCTGTGTATGTACTGGGTTCTTAAACTTGAGATGAATCAAAAGCAATATACTACAGAAAAACATGAAGAAATGAAATATGGATCACTACTCAAACTAAGTTGACTGATTGTTGATCTTTTTGTTTTTGAAATGTTATGTACCTGCTTATAACATTAAATTCTGAAGTTTCTTAATAACTCTAGTTCTATTAAAATATACTTTCCAAAAATAGAAATACAGTTTTAGATACTTTACCCAGTAGACTTAAGTGGTAACTATCTATTCCATATAAACTTTACCAAGGAGATGTAGGTGTGACTCATAAAAAACTATTGGTGCTAAAGAGTTTTCTGAACTTCCTAAACTTTTTTATTTATTACTTCTCATGGGGATGTATAATATAGTAGAAAAGTATTTATTTATTTATTTATTTATTTATTTATGTCTCAGTTGTGTTACTTTGGTGAAGTCTCTTAACTTCTCTGGGCTCAGATTTCTCTAAAAATGGAGTTGGCAGCCGAGACCGGTTTGGCTCAATGGATAGAGCATCAGCCTGGGGACTGAAGGGACTCGGGTTTGATTCCGGTCAAGGGCATGTACCTTGGTTGCGGGCATATCCCCAGTAGGGGGTGTGCAAGAGGCAGCTGATCGATGACTCTCTCTCATCGATGTTTCTAGCTTTCTATCTCTCTCCCTTCCTCTCTGTACAAAATCAATAAAATATATATAAAAATGGAGTTGGATTAACTCCCTTTAGATCTTTACTTCCGTGATTGCTCATGTATCATTGAGCATTCATTGGCTATTTAGTTGTGCTGGCTTTCGAATGTTTTGAAATAACAGCTCTCGGGGTCTCCCCTGAAACTCACAGGGGAGAAAAGGTTAGAGTAATGGGAGTGACCAGAAAATCTGGCCAAAGAGAATCCACTTGCTGTTTTCTGTCAGGATCCGCGAGTTGGGTTGCGCATCTAACGGGCCAGGCTTAGGGCGAGAAGAACCCCTATTTGCTCATGGCTCAGGACACAGGGAAAGAAACAAATGCTTCCCCATGGGACTCCAGGTTTACGTCTCTGCATTGAAACCTGTCCTTTCTTTTCAGGTTGCTGAATTCTAACTCATTTACAGTCATCCGCGATGATGCATTTGCTGGACTCTTTCATCTTGAATACCTGTAAGTGCCATGCTTTGCCTGTTTGCTGAGCATTTGGTCTTTCAGTACAATTGCTCTATTGCTTTCCAAGCCAAATAGCATCTCTTATAGAACTTGGGGGATGGATAAAACCCCACTCCCTTTCCAGCGCTGATCTTTTGCAGTTCACTTGTGTATAAACATGCTGGGACAGGAGGAGGTGGGGACAAAGAGGGGGAAAGGGAACAAAGAAGGAAAGATAGCCATTCATTCTCTGCTGACATTTAATTTGCCATGTAGTAAGCACAATTGGAAATTGTGTTGGATATTTTTACCTCTCATAATGAGGCATGGATTTGCTGATCAGCCAGAAAGGATTCTGAGGGTTACTTAGTTTTAAATAAAGTCTCCCTATATGGGAATACAGTGTCATGTTTTTAATTCAGCTGGCCTATGTTCTGTGTGCAGTATCCCCTGGGAGCTGCTGACGAGGGTCTAATTTTCTTTTTTCTGCTTTCAAGAATGATTATTTTTCCCTTTTCAGAGGTGCAGTTTCCCCCCAGCAATGAGCTTTGCTCTCTCTCTGATTTCTGCCTTTGCCCCCCTCTGATGTCTTTTTTCCACTTAAATTCTTTCATCCTCATCTTGTGTAACTTTGTAATAACATTAATCCCGTTATCAGATGGGATTTACTTACCTGGCACTCAGAGGCATTTTTAAAGCCTTGTCTCTGCTTTCTTATCTGAGGTGAGCAGGTAGATGTTTGAATTCCAAACACATCCTAGGTCTAAGGAAGCTCTCTGCTGATGTTATGGCCTCAGGAAGGATGTTTCTGGAGTTGTTTCTCCAGATGCACATACTATGTGTGCTCTCAGGACATTGTACTAGCATGCTTCACTTGCTACCCTGTTTCCCCGAAAATAAGACAGTGTCTTATACTAATTTTTTCTCCCAAAGGAGAAAAAATTGTGCGCTAGGTCTTATTTTCAGGGGATGTCTTATCTTTCCATGTGCTAGGTCTTATTTTCAGAGGATGTCTTATTTTTGGGGAAACATGGTAGTACATGTGAAGACAGGTAGGACTGCAGTGCTGAGTCCAGCTAGGGTCTCTGAAAGCAAGTATGTGAACACGCCGTGCACGGAGTGAATGTGAAGCTACCAGTTTTCTCCTGTGAGCAGTTCATCTTAGTGTTAAGGTGATTGAGGAGGAGGTTGGCTTAGTTTATCCTGAAGTCTATCATGGAATAGACCTCTGATCTTGAAAAAGTAGGCATGGGAACGTTCTCAGTGCAAGGATCAAGAACTATTTTATTAACGAATGGCATCATGTGCCAAGCCTCTCCCTTGGACCATCTCATCAAAGACCCCCTTCCATTTAATGAAATGGAAGGGAACCTTTTTTATGCCAAGGGCCTTTTGGATCTGTATAACATCACTCAAGGTCCACACAAAATTATCAACTTAAAAATGAGCCTGTTATATTTGGTCAAACATTGAATTAATTCACCCCTAATGCCTTGGCAGGGCCAGACCCCATAATTTTGAGGGCCTTATGTGATTCTCCCCACCCATGCCTTAAACTAAGCTGTAGGTCTCTATGGCCCAAGGAAACAGTTGGTAGTGCATCTATTTCTCACCAAGATGTTACAGCATGGCCAGAATTATCTTTAATGCAGGATCCTAGCTCAAGCCCTAAGACTTTTCAGCACAGAGAAAGAAGTTTGGCCCACATTCAATGTCATTATACTTCCCTGAGCCTTCGAGATCTGGAGAGGACCCTGCCTCGTCACCGAGATCAGACCGTGTAGGACATGATGAACTCAAGAGTTTGCCAGAAGCCAAGCGTAATGGGACTCTCCCTCAGCAAGAACTTTAATAAGGAGATGTGAAACAGCAGGCTCCCCTCAAGGGACAAAGATGTTAACAAAAGTAGGAGTAGCCAGGCCGTGAAATGTAAGAAGGGTTGATGTCTGGGAATGCTCCAGGCCTGCGGAGATTTGAACATTCTTGCCTTGGTCCAGTGCTTTTCTCTTTTTTCCCCCCAAACATGTTTCTACGCCTGTTGCCAACTCTGAATTTGAAGATGTTTGTGCTGCTTCTGGAGAGAGTGCAGAACAAACACTTGTGTCCATGTTTTAGATTTTGTTTCAAAAGCATGCCAATAGTATTTCCTAGAGCTGTTAAGCTGAGAAAGTTCCGTTTACTTACACTGCTGTTCTCCCTAGGTTCATCGAAGGGAACAAAATAGAAACGATTTCAAGAAATGCCTTCCGTGGCCTCCGTGACCTGACTCACCTGTAAGTCCTATGAAAAGTGTTGTCAATTTTTCAAGATGCAAAGTAAGATTCCCTTCCTCGTGCCTCTTCTTTTTCTTGAGTGTTTTGTCCTTATTGTAACATCCTTGAAATGAAACTAATTTCCAGGTTGCCCTAAAGGTTTCTATGTTATGGACCAATCACCTGTCCATGAAAATAAAGACACACTTGTCTTGATTATCTTTTCCATCATTCGGGGTTGTTGTCATGGACCACATGACTGCATGTCAAGTAGGGAGCACTCTACTTCCAGGGGCCTACCTGTGTGAGTGACAGAAGAGATGGGGAGAAGACTGACATGTATTGTGCACCTACTCTGTGCCAGGCACAGGGCTGGGTGCTTAGTGAGCCTTCTTCTCATTTTTCAAGATAATCTGTGAGTCCCCACTTTACAGTTTTAGGAACTGACACTTATAGACTCATAGAAGAAGGTTGAATGCAGGGTCAGAATTAGGACAAAGTGGAATAGAGACATTTTCTGTGGTTCCTCAAATTTGAATGCAAATAGCTTTTTCTTTTATGTTGGATTTATCGGCAGCTTAAGCTAAGCTCTCTGGGATTTTTAATAGCTTTCTGGAGGAAAAAATTCAACAAATTGATTTGAATTGGCATATCAGAATGAAGCAAGTGCACACACTTAACAAGTGTAGGAAACTGGAAGAAATAGGGACCATGTTTATGAAAATGTAAGGATAACCATTGTCTTGGTAGGAGCCATTTATTAGCCGGGATAGATATTTTGTGTCTGAGTAAGACACTGTCTCATCTCCATAGTTAGGCCATGTGTGCTAAAAAGAGAAGTGAGGAAATGGGAGGGCTTTGACTGGGGTGTTGGTAATATCCTTGGCATGTATCACCCTGTCTGATACAGCATCTGAAGAGTTTACATCAAACCCTGATGTAGGCAAAAGTGTCTGTCCCTGAGCTCAGGGAGCACTTGGTTCTGGACTCCTACCAAGAAAAAGCTCTATCTGAGTTCAAGCTAACAGAGTAAGGAGACGAGGGAGCAGAGTGGGAGGTCCTAACATCCGGATCAGCACAGTCATCCTGCAGAGCATCTGACTCCTATTGGCATACTTACTCCAGGTTTCCTTTTCTTCCTGTAAACATCTTGATTTCTCTCCCCAGCAAATTCATCCTACATGCCCAATCCCTACATTCCTGTAGAGGCTAAGACAATGGGCTTAGAGTCACATAGACTTGGGTTCAATCTCAAGGCCATCATTTGTTACTGTTGCTTCACCTTTTTGAGCCTGTTTCCTCATCCTTAATATGGAGATGATGATACTGACCCCAGATACTGTTGCGCATGGTGGTTAATGCTTGCTTGCAAAGATTCCAGCCCATCGCCCAGGTAAATGCTCCAGGTATGACAGGCATTGATATCATTGTTGTCATCATCATCATCATCATCATCAACAACAACCCCATTCTTTCCCTCCAATCTTTAAGAAGTTTCGATTTTCTCCCTGGAAAAAGAGTGGTGGCCAGGCAGAGTCTGCTAAGTACACAGCTGTGGGCATCTGAGAGGAACAGCTGTGGCCAGATAAACCAGTTCCCAGAAGTCAGGAACGAGGGGCTTTGTTTTGAGCAAAGACTCTGGGCAGATTGTGAACCTAACAAAGCCCATGAGACTGAGTTAGCCCAGATGTCAATTTTCATTTGACCAGTTGGCTATGGTCCTTGGTCTGAAGAATGTATGGGAACTGTACATGTATATTTGCATAGCTTTTACATGGGTATATGGACTTTTCTACGTATCTATACACTGAATGGCCAGATTATTATGATCTCTGAGCACATAATAATTTGGACACTCAGTATATATCCTATATAATAAAAGCCTAATATGCAAATTGTCGCCTCCACCAGGAGTTCAACCAGCAGACAGGCCAGCCAACCACCCATGTCCCCTCCCCCTGGCCAGGCTGGCCATACCCCACCCATGTAAGAATTCATGCACTGGGCCACACATACACAGAGATCATTATAATCTGGTCACTCAGTGTATAACTGCGTATGTGTGTGCATGCTTATGCATCTGCACATATGACCATATGTACATATCAGATGTACATGTGTGTACGAAGCACCTTCTTCTCTGTGTGAAATGCAGAGGGAACAAAGAAGTCCTCTCCTTGGGCCCAGGATGCATCGGATGCCCTAGTACACCCATTCCAGCTTGTATTGCCACCTGACAGTCAAGCCCACCAGGCCCCCTTTATCTGCAGCTCTCCAACCTCATTTCCCTAAATGTCCTCAGAACACTGGGCTCTCAGGGGGCTTCCATGCATACCCAACTCATCCCATTCCTGGGCTTCCCTTCACATCCTTTCTTTGACCTTGGGTGCTCTTTCTTCTGCCCACGATCTCCTGGGATCTTCTTTTTCTTCAAAGTCCAGATTAAGTTCTATCTCCCACGTGGAGCCATGTGGGTCTCCCCTTCACTTCTCTCGTAGCTTCCCTATTGGCTCCACACACCCAGCACCTTACTGTAGACTCGGGCCACACTGGTTGGTGCAATTTCATGGTGTTTGTTTTACCTTCCCAGCAGCAGTGAGAGCTCCTCGAGGGGAGAGCCCGTGAGGATCTTGCATTAGCTGTGTTCTTCGCCCAGCATCTAGCACAGGGCTAAGCCAGCAGGACATCCTTTCAGATTCACTGGCTGACCAGTGTGTTCCTTACTGAGCTGGATTTTCCATGTGGACTCTACTCCTGGGAAAGTCAGGTGGCCTCCTCGGGGCTGGAGACGCAGATAGTCATTAAAGCATTTAGTACATTGTTTAGGAATTAACTGGTCCTTCCATTTCCCCACTTTTTTTTTTTTTTTTTTTTTTTTTGTAAACTCTCTGAGTGAAGATCACATGTCAGCTCTCTAAAGTTCACTCCTGTGATGAAGAAAACCACTGTCTGGAATTTGCTTGTTTAAGTTTCTGATTTTTACCCTTTATAAACTTCCCCAACACCTGCAGGGTCATATGTTCCTGTAAAGAGACACGGGTTGGGTTTCAGGGCCCTGCAGGAGCAGTGCCAATCTGTAAGTAAAATCTGGGACAGTTGTTTCCAGCAGCCCGGAAAGCCCAAGGGACAGGTTGCTGTTAAGTAGTTTTGGAAATGAAGTAAGTGCCATGAGTTTATAGATAAAATGAAGTGGAAAGTGAGATGTTAGGCACGGAGTGTGAGTGGGGTGGATGGTCCATCTAAATAATTCAGTTTCTGAAATCCAAATTGAATGCTTGGAACGGCTGCTGAATAGTCTGCTTTTTTTTGGCCTCGAATATCCTGTATATTCTTATCACTTTAATCCCGTACAGTTCAAGTAGAAAAAAAAAATTAGCTGAAAAATTCCCCTTTAATTAGCTAAAAAAAAAAAAAAAAAAAAAGTTTTTACTTTACATTTTTAGGTGAGGTGACCATCAACCAGAAAATAATCAAAACAAACATGTTCTTTTTTAATGTCAGAAAGCTATTCTAAAGTATGTTCAGTCTGATTACATATTCAGTCTATTTTCCTACATCTCTAAAAATGTACAGATATTAGGAAATAAAGCTTAAAAAATACAAGAAATGGTATTTTAATCCATTGGTGGTTACTTAGATGGGAAGGGGTATCTCTATAGTCTGATAGTATCTTGAAGCTAGAATGATTGGTTAAATGGGCTTAAAGGCCCTAACCAGTTTGGCTCAGTGGATAGAGTGCCAGCTTGCAGACTGAAGGGTCTCGGGTTTGATTCCGGTCAAGGGTATATGCACAGGTTGCAGGCTCAATTCCCAGCATGGGTGTGCAGGAGGCAGCCGATCAATGATTCTTTCTCATCCATTTATGTTTCTATCTCTCTCTCTTCCTTCCTCTCTGAAATAAATAAAACTATTTTTAAAAGAAAAGAAAACATGAAACATTTTTAAAAATAGGCTCAAAACTTTCTATTCTAGTTAAGTCTAAAGAGGGCAAGCATTTCTTTTCTTTTCTTTTTTTTTTTTTTTTTTACAAGCATTTCTTTAATTCCTCTTTCTGGGATGGGTCATTATGATGCTACAGAAGACTAATTTCATATATGTTTCATAATCATACTTCATATATAAATATTTACACATATATATTTGGTGATGAATTGCCTACATGTTGCTCATTTATGGTTTTGCTATTTGTACTCATGTGTAAAAGAAAAAAAAGTAGCCATTAGTTTGTTGGCTGACTCATATTAGAACACGGTGCCTGGGGGAAATCAGACTCCATGTACATCCTTTCAACACCCTGCATCTTTCAACGTCAGCAGCCCAGCCCCATGACATTCATCTTTAGCATGGTGACAGGGCACTGCAGAACCCTGAATCATCCGAGAAGGAGTTGACAGTGCTTATTCAGAGTCTTCTTCTGGAAGTGGAGGTGGGGGGGGGGGGGGACTAAGATATTTTAGAAGTTCTTAAAAACTAACAGCAAAAATACAGAATAGTTTCTGGTCAACCGTTGTTAATGAGAAAACAAAATCGGTCACCATCATTCATTCCCTAAATGGGGTTTGTTGAGGTTTAATATTATTGTCAGGGTTAGAGTTGAGGGTCTTTAGGTAAAAGCTTATGTACTGAGTCCTTTCTTAGAGTGACAAAAGTAATAGAATGGACCACTAGGGAACTTCTTGGTACACGATTATTCATCCTTTAAAAAAATCACTGTCATTTTAGTGCATAATTCATTCAACAAAGATTTACTGAGTGCCTACTATATGCCAGGCCATCTTCTATGAGCTGTGGATACAGATGTGGACAAACAGACAAATTTTTTCTCATGTTGCTTATGTATAGGATGAAAACACAGTCAATAAACAAGTAGATAACTAAAATGTATAGTATGTCAATGAGGAACATAGCAGGGTAGGAAAGTGTGTAGAGGTCAGGGAAGGTGGTGAGAGCTGCGGACAGATGTAAGAAGGTGATGGAGTGAGTTGTGGAGTGTCTGGGGAAAGAGCATTCTAGGCAGATGGACAGCAAGTTCAGGCCTTGACCTGGGGCTGTGTTTCTCCTGCTTGAGAAATAACGAAGAGGCCAGTGCAGCTGGATCTTGGTGGTTAAGATGACCCATCGGTAGGTGGGAATGGAGGTAAACTAGACCAGTGGTTGGCAAACTCATTAGCCAACAGAGCCAAATATCAACAGTACAATGATTGAAATTTCTTTTGAGAGCCAAATTTTTAAAACTTAAACTTTCTAATGCCACTTGTTCAAAATAGGCTCGCCCAGGCCGTAGTATTTTGTGGAAGAGCCACACTCAAGGGGCCAAAGAGCTGCATGTGGCTCGAGAGCCGCGGTTTGCCAACCACTGAATTAGACCATGGAGAGTCTTGCATCCCATCAAAGGGACTGTGGCTTTTATTTTGAAAACATGAGTGGTACCTGAGGCTTAAAAAATGTATATCAAGAGCTTAATAAATGCTTGTTTTAAAAACAAAAGACTTACATTGTACCCCAGCATTTATATTATTTTTTTAATAACTAAACTCAGTTCTTTATCTCAGTATCAATGAGCAGAGCCAGAAATTGAACCATGTTGTGCCGAAGAGGATTAGAGCTCTGTTTGAAATCATGACTTTACTTAAGGCACTTCAGAGTAATAGGGCGTAAAGATAATAACCACATTAAAATGTTACTTTCTGCTTCTAGCTCTCTGGCCAATAACCACATCAAAGCACTCCCAAGAGATGTCTTCAGTGATTTAGACTCCCTGATTGAGCTGTAAGTAATGAAAGTCAAGTTTGTGTCTGCTAGTGCTTGTGCCCCAGCAAATCCTGGTATTGAGTCCTCTCTCCCTCTTCGCTGCATTTCTCTTCCCCTGTAACTCAAGAACCTATGACAGAGCTGTGCCCACTGGGAGACAGCATGGAGTCTGTATGGGGTTGGATTGTGCCATTTTAGAATATCCTTAGCAGCATTAGGCTCCTTCCCTGAGATAGCGTATCCATCGGATTTACCTTCTAGTGTTGGTCACTTTTTATTGGACTTAGTTTAACAAGTTCTTAGCGTTTCAAGTGTGTTTGTGAAAACTGGTTTCCTGGAATGTCCTGTTTGTGTTTGTGTGAACCTGTGTTGGCTGTTGTTCTGTCATCGCTCCCATGTCCAGCATGGCATGGCGACAGTTTCAAGAGAGTTTGGAGAAATGGTGGTATGTTAGCTCTGAAAGCTCCCTGTAGGCCGTCCAGTTAAAACCAGAGGCACTGAAGACTATTAAATAAAGTCAGTGATAAGAACAAAAAAATAGGATGTATTCAATATAAAAAAAATTAAGTTACATGTTGGGGTATTAAATATGTCAAGATATTAATAATCCTGGAGTCTCATATCAGTGCCTGAACATTTGAGGCATGTCTGTTTTCCTGTGCCTGTACTTGGTTTTATTTTTTAGAGATTTAAGGGGCAATAAATTTGAATGTGACTGCAAAGCCAAGTGGCTGTATCTGTGGTTGAAGATGACAAACTCCACCGTTTCGGACGTGCTGTGTATCGGTCCCCCGGAATATCAGGAGAAGAAGCTAAATGACGTGACCAGCTTTGACTACGAATGCACAACTACAGGTATGCAGAGCCCCTGCCACCAAGGCGGTTAATCAGAACAATTCCTGTGTTTTCCCTTTAGCTTGTCAACAGGGACTGGGGGAAAGTGGGTGCAAACACTTTCTGTCAAAGTTATTTTAGGTGAAATTTAAGCTCCAAAAGGTATGCACTGATGTGGTAAGGAAAATATCTCAACAGTTTAGATTTTTGTTAACTGCGCTGGCTTTATTATTGATCCTCTACAAAATTTAAATGTCTCTAAAGGTTGTTTTTTTTTTTTTTGTCAAATATAAACTGGTGAGCTTGGCATAAAAACATTTTCAACTCAGTTATGTTTCCATAGAAAGTCAGTGCAGAGGGGCCTAAACTTCTGTCCTTTTGATTGGATTACATAAATTTTATTGAAAATTTAACTAGTAAATACGAGACTTTAAAATCTATAAATTGCATTCATAGTCCCATCTAAAAAGAGATAACTAGGTAAATTATAACCAAACTAGGCAAAGTAGGAATATAAGTTAAGAGTTAATTGTCAAAAGAGGAAACTCACATTGAGGGAAAAATGTAAAGTTGATTCTGTTTTCCAGGACCTCTCTCAGGGTCCAGTTTATACATTTTTAGGCTATAAAGATAAAATTAAAATACTAACTGCCTCAACTCTCTGCATATGTAGAGAGCAGATGAGTGTCTCCATAGGAAAGGCTTAGATGGAGTCCCCACAGCTTCCGATGCCAGATTTTATTTTTTAATCCTCACCAGGGGATATATTTTCCATAGCTCTTCAGAGAGAGTGGAGGGTGGCCGTGGAAATAGGAGAGAGAGAGAGAGAGAGAGAGAGAGAGAGAGAGAGAGAGAGAGAGAGAGAGATATGACAGAAACACATCAACTGGTTGCCTCCCGCATGCACCCTGACCAGGTTTCAGGGAGCAAACCCACAGCCCAGGTCCATATCCTTGACTGGAAATTGAACCTTGAATTCTTATGTATGTGGTCTGATGTTCTAACCACTTAGCAGCAACCAGGACTAATACCAGAGGAGAAAAGGTCAATCCACAGTATGAAACCTGCTTTATCAGACTAAGAAAAGTGAACAGGCTGAGATTTGATATCTACAGGGCTTCAAGGCATGTCAGTAGGAGCAGCATGAGTGAGAACTCAGAACATAGTCACAGAAACTCAAAAGACAAAAGAACTTCAAGAACAAAACATCCCAGCAGCCATCCTCCAAATAAACACTCGCAAGTAAAAATTATTTCCAGATGTCTTTGTAAATAAGGGCCCCTGCGACTCTCTGTTCTTTTCTGAGAGGAAATCTGAAATCTTACGGGAATGACCTTGTCTTTCATCACCCAGCAGGGGCTTATTCAGCTGTGTAATCGGCAGGTGCCCTTTAGCCAGCGAGGCTGCGGCAGGTTATTCGCTGTGTTGTGGAACAGTGCAAAATATCAGAGGTCGAGTCAATGACATTTGCACCGGAAGGTGGCACTCAAGGCCATTGGGTATGAAATGCTAAACCAAAGCTCGTTGGGGCTGTTTCTATCTCTTCCCCAGCTTTTCTAGAGAGTTCTCTAACACACTGGTGAAATTAGCAGCTTTTCCATTGTTCTAGTCACACCTGGTCATAGTATATGAGAAGTTTGCCAAGCTCTGAGAGAAGTGACATGGGCTATAGAGGGACGGAGAGATTTGGGAATAATTTACACAAGACAACCTTATTTCTGAGCTTAGAGCCCCATGGATGGTTATGAAAACCATCCGAGCTCTGAGAATTGTCATGGGAACGGAGGTCCTGAAATCTGTCATAAACCCAGAGTCCATGTCATAAACCCAGAATCAGTGTGAGTCCCTAACACATTTTAGGGCATTCACTCTCTTATATACACTGAGTGGCCAGATTATTATGATCTCTGAATGCATAATAGTCTGGCCACTCAGCGTATATCCTATATAATAAAAGACTAATATGCAAATTGTCCCCTCGACCAGGAGTTCGACCATCAGGCTGGCTGGCCAACTGCCCATGTCCCCTCCCCCTGGCCAGGCTAGCTGGACCCCATCCATGCACGAATTCATGCTCTGGGCCTCTAATATATATACTGAGTGGCCAGAGAGCATAATAATCTGGCCACTCAGTGTATATCTTCGCTAAACAGCTTCCTATTAAAATCAAGAAAGTCATCACACCTCCCTGGTATCAGGAAGATGAGGATTCTATTTTTGTTATTGTTTTATCCCTTTAAGAATCATGGACAAATGGCCCTGGTTGGTGTTTCTCGTGGTTAGAGCATCTGCTCCATGCACCAAAGGGTCACCGGTTTGAATCCTGGTCAAGGGCATGTACCGGGTTGCAGGTTCAATGCCTGGCGGAGTTTGAGAGAGGGTGTAGGAGGCAACCAATCAATGTTTCTTTCCCCCCAACCCCCCACTTCCTTTCCTCCCCTCCCCTCTCTAAAAATCAATGGAAAGAATATCCTTGGGTGAGGGTTAACAACAATACCAAAAAAAATAAAAATAAAATCATGGGCAAAGGGCCTCTTGCTCTTAGGGCCTTCCATCATGAAAAAAAGGCACAGGCAAGTTATAACCTGTCCCAACATAGAGCCCTTGCCTCGTAAGAACATAGGCCAATCGATGGTGAGTTTTGGGCTCCTCTTTCCTGCTCAGATAAAGCGTCATTGCCTGGGCTTTATGAGAGGCTGGGAGGAAATGTGTGAGGAAGAGGGAAGGCCCATTCCTAGGTCATAGGACTGTTACTGCACGCTCACCGAGGAGCTGGGAAGAAGCGCGTCTTCTCAGTGTTTTATTTCCTTCGTGGCCCAGATTTTCAGGAAGAGAGTGAGTTCTTGAGGTGGAGGAGGGGAGGCAGGCGCTGTTCTTCCCAGGGAGAGGAAGGCACTGGGACCACTCTATTCCAGGCGCAAGGGGGTAGCTAGCACCCTGGACCATGTCCAGCTCTCTAGATTAATCACCGTCCTTCCCGAACCTCCCGCCTCCAGTCTATTTTTATCCACCTCCGAAATCCCTGTTACCTGCTCATGATTCCCCGTGTTAGGTGGATAATTCACTAAATTCCTTAGAGGGAGTGAATTTTGCATCCTAATGGTCCTGTTAGCTGCCCTGTTTCAGGGCTGATGAAAATGCAAAGAGAGAAATAATGCATTAATGTGCAGTTTCTCTCCCAGTGGGGGAGGCATCATGTATAATTTATTCTCTGCAAGTGCTATAAATAGCTATGCAAAAATCTGTTGATTCCGGGGGGAGCCGTGCCTGAATTGGAAGAGCCCCACTGACATCATGAACTTAATCCAGTGTGAATGAAAGTGGCAGGCTTTTGCAGAGATCCCAATAATACTCAAACACTAGTAAATTAGTGTCATAGCAATGCGCACATTCTCCAAGAGCTTTCCACGTGGCTGTGCATTTGCCGCTTGTGAAAGATAAATTAAGATGAGGATGGAAGACAATATTTAAATCTGAGTCCCCTCCCCCCATGCACACAAGGTCATATATCAATCATTTTATTCCACCTGTTTTTTTCTCTTTTCCTTCTCTCCCTCCTCCTTTATTATATATTTTTTTTATTGATTTCAAAAAGGAAAGGAGAGGGAGATAGAAACATCAATGATGAGAGAGAATCATTGATGGGCTGCCTACTGCATGCCTCACACTGGGGATCGAGCCCACAACCCAGGCATGTGCCTGACTGGGAATGGAATGGTGACCTCCTGGTTCATAGGTTGGCACTCAACCACTGAGCCATGCCAGCTGGACTGTCTCCTATTTTTATTTTTTAAATATACTTTTATTGATATCAGAGAGGAAGGGAGGAGAGACAGAAACATCCATGATGAGAGAGAATCATTGATGGGCTGCCTCCTGCTGGGAATCAAGCCCACAATCCAGGGATGTGCCCTTGACTGGAATCCGGGACCCTTTAGTCTGCAGGCCAATGCTCTATCCACTGAGCCAAACCAGCTAGGGCTGTCTCCTCCTTTTTTATGAGGGGGGTTATAGAGGGAGAAAGGGGTTTCCTATTAGCAATTTGATTTATAATTCAAATGAGTTAACCGTCTGTGTTGTGCAAGACACTCAGTTTATACAAAATCTGATGAAACCGATGTTTGGGGAAAATAAACGACAATCAGACCATGGAAGGCCAGATTTGTAAAATGCTCTCCAGTCTGGCAGCTCTTCGCTCGTTCTGGGAATCGTTAATAAAACGCTGACTTCGGGGCCTGCACTTTAGATGACCTGCGCTTTTAAGCAGACGCTCATGTTTCTGGGAAGCCAGCGAGCAGTCAGGGGCCTGACTCGAACAAGCCGCTCGCTAGGGGCATCGCACGCATGTTCGGACGCTTCTGCAGCCCTGGGTTAGGCAAATGCCCTGGTAGAGGTGTGGTGTATAGGCCTCCGGGTTGTAATGAAAAGAGTGCACCTGCGTCCTCAGAGTCCTTTGCTAACTCTGAAAAAAGAGGCAGCGGACAATGCCGGCTTCCCTTTCCCATCTCTGGACCTGTGAGCACAGAGCCTCGGAGCCTGTGTCCTTGGCCAGCGCCTCCTGGCTCCTACGCTGGTCCTGTGTGTGCCAACAGGAAAGAGCCGAGGCTGATGCTTTTTGCTCCTCTTTGGCTGATCAGCACTGGTATTTGGGGGTTTGGGCAGAGGGTTAGGGCTGTTCCCTGTGTTCATGCAGGCAGCATAATGTTATCATTGGACCTACGACCATCTAGCTCCATGTAACTATATCGTTTTGTATGTATCTGACTCCGCTGAGGCATTTCCATAGACGGCTCTGTGCTGACACTACATGCACACTCTTACTTAGTGTCTACAACAACCTACAGAATGAACACCCCCCTCATTTTACTCCTGAGAAACCTCAGGCTCAAGTTTCTTGCCCAAGGTCACAGGCTAACGTGTAGGTGGAAGCCTGAGCCCCAGCTCTTCTGGATAGTCCACTCCCTGGGGTGGGGGGGGACCTCACCCTTGATTGCCACCGGTCCCCACACCCCTTGGCCACTTCTTATTGTCGGGGTGCAGAGGCAGCCTCCTCTTTGCGTCTCCCTCTTCTCCCCACACCTGCAAGCATTACGCATTCAGCCCCATCATTCTTCCCTACCCCACCCCCCAGTCCTCAGAATGAGCCAGTGCCCCCACACTCATTAAGCCAGCAGCCTTTATTAAGCACCTGCTGTACACAGAAAGGGCCACCTCTGTGTGTAGCATGCCTTGAGAACTCACTCTGTGCTACGTTCAGTTCTAAGTGAGTATGAATCATAATGCACAGGGAGGAAACTGAGGCAGAGAGAGGGTACGTTAGCAGGATGGTGGAGTCACAGTTCTGGCATCTTATCTCAGATGTCATTGAGATGGACACTCCCCCAAGGGAGAGGCCAGGGGTGGTGGCGAGGACAGAGGAGGTGGACTCTCCTTTCTCGGACCCTAGTTCCATGTTTATTGAACAGCTGCTCTGTGCTAAGCCTTGAGGCAGGCATTTCTGGCAACGTTACCCAATGTGTCCCTCTGCCGTGAAGCTTGGGAGGTAAGTACCATTGCCCCCATCTTGTGGATAGGTAAGCTGAGGCCTTGTAAGGGGACGTGTGCACCCAGGGTCTCCAGGGCAGGCAGTGGTTTTAGCTGGCCTGACTCCAGGCACAGTGCTCCTCCTGGTGCCTCACGTTGCCCTCACTCCCTCAGCCCTGCCCCTCTCTCCTGCTTCTGCTGTCACCACGCTTCCCACTCCAACACTTGCTCAGCTGCTCCACCTCCTTTCCTGCCCCGCTCCCTCAGCACAGTCCCTCTTGACTCCCTACGGCACATGTGTCAAACACAAGGCCCGCGGGCCAAATCCGTCCTGCCAGGCCTTGCAATGTGGCCCGCACCGCGCTGTCATCACTGCACTCCGCTGCGTTTCCATCACAATGACAGTTTATGACTGTTCAGTAAACCATTCGGCCCGCGATTTAGGCTGGATTTTAGATTTTGGCCCCTTCTCTGATTGAGTTCGACATCCCTACCCTACGGAGTGGCCGGTCCTCTTATTGCCTTTCTGGTGTAACAGCTGTAGGAGGCTTCCCAGTCAGAGGCATTTCTCGAGTGGCTGCTGTGGGCTTGAGCCATGGGGATTGACCTTAGAAAGCCCTTTGCTCGGGGACACACCATGCTGTGTGCCCACGGCCAGATGTGCACCCTCTCTGGGCTTCTGACTCTGTACAATGACTCACGGCTCCAAGATCGCTCCCATGTCCCCAGATCTGGCTCTGATGCTGCTATGTGGAAGAGTCAGTCAGTGTGGAAAGCAGGATGTAAACAACAGTGCCTGATTAGGTGTTCAACGAATGAGGAAGAGTCCCAGGGGTTAGAGCGGTCAGGGGAGGCTTTGCAGAGGAGGTGGGACTTGAGGGCCCCCTATAAGGACAGTGTGGGGAATTGAGGGGCAATGATTTTCTCACAGAGCGACTCTCCTTAGCCAGGCGTGCACCATCACTGTACCCTGGGAGCATTTAACCTGCCAGGAAGTAGTACAAATGAAGGCTCTCTGGCTAAAGAAAGAACTTAAACTTTATTAGTGTCCTTCCCCGCTGTCTTCATCGATTCTCCGGCTATCCTGCGCACTAAGTATCCTTGTATCCGGGGGCGTCCTCACCCCATTTCTTGGTAAACTGTACCTTTCCTACTGAGACTTAATACAGTGAGTCTGTCATAGCTCAGGGGAGCCGTGTGGATGAGGAGTTTTAATTTACCACTAAACGTAAGAGTCAAGCATGTGCTCACATTGGGCAGGTTCTCTGTTGCTTGAAAATGCAACAGACCTCCTGTGAGTGCTAGCTGAGCAGTCCGGACCCCAGGCAGAGCCGTCACTCATTGCACCAGGCCCAGGAGCCAGCGACTGTCTTTCCTTCCCCATGGAGGGCTTTATAAACCTCTGAGACCTCATGGGAGGGGGTGGCTTGGTTTCTAAACATGCAGGAAGCCATTGGGAGGTTGACTTCTCCTGGTGAACCTGCCGAGGCAGCCTCCCCCGCAGGGCGATGCAGAGCTGGGAGTGTGCTAACAGGTGATAAAGGATCCGATGGCCGGGTCCGCTTGAGAACCAGCCCAGCCACATGCTTCTTTACTACCCGGCTCTTCCAAGAGCGTTAAACACAGCTTTCCCCAAACGAGGCCGCCCCCTGCCGCCCTGGTTCCCCGAGGAATTTTCCAGGGCAGTGTCCGGAGTTCGGCTCTGTGGCTTCCTTTCGGTCCAGCCTTTTTGAAAGCCAGGTCTCACCAGATGTGTTTAAGCCATCGAGATCCTTCAGCCACGCCTGTGAGCTGTTTATCTCAAAGAAGCTGTATCAGAAGCGGTGCATTCAGTCTGGGAGTCCTGTGCACCCTGAAACTTTCTGGAATCTCCCAGAGTCAAACAGGCTGGGATGTTAGAGTTGTTTTTTCCTGTTGAAACTGATGAGAGAAAGGAAAGAAGGGGTGGTCGATGACTCCTACAAGGCATCTCATGGAGCTTTTCTCTTTAAACCCCTATTCCCAGATTTTGTGGTTCATCAGACGTTGCCCTACCAGTCGGTCTCGGTGGATACTTTCAACTCCAAGAATGACGTGTACGTGGCCATCGCCCAGCCCAGCATGGAGAACTGCATGGTGCTGGAGTGGGACCACATTGAGATGAACTTCCGGAGCTATGACAATATCACAGGTGGGTGTGGCTTTGAGGTATCGGCCCAGTTTCAGCGAGAGAAGAAACATTCTCTGCCATACCGAGGGACCCCCGGGCTCGCTCCCTGGCTTAGAGTTTAGGGACACGTGCCAGCCCATCCTCATCTCTGACTGCTTCATGACATGGTCCATTATTGGTGGGACCGGAAGCCTCAGGTGGCGATCTTGTTTGTTGTGGGGGATCCTTTTGAAAAGGAAGAGAGTGATGGGGTATATGTGGTGGGAAGCATTTCCCTGGAGAGGTGAGAGGTCACCCCAAGAACCTTGATCTTGAGCAGTTATGGCACCTTCGATTGCACCCACTTTGTAGCAGCTAAACAAATCCTCGCCTTTTGTTAAGCTGATTATTAACAATATGGTAATGAACAAGTGCACACAAGCATACGTGCTCATGCACACACACATGTACATATGCATGTGTGCACATGTGTGCACAAATATATGCCAGTACATATGCACACACATGTGTGATCATGCACACATGCATGTAAACACACCTCCACTGTCTAGCCCCCTTGCCAGGTCCTGGTGATCACTGCTTTCTTGCAATAAATGCAAGCAATTAAGAATGCATGGCTCTCTAAATCCAGGCCTTTGGGAAAAGACTTGGTTAAGGATTCTTTTAGTGCTGGCGGAGGCCCCCAGTGTCTTACTGCTATTAAAAACAGAGGGCCTGCTTGCTTTTTATTTTTATCTATTTATTTTTTAAATATATATTTGTTATTGATTTTTTTACAGAGAGGAAGGGAGAGGGATAGAGTTGGAAACATCAATGAGAGAGAAACATCGATGAGAGAGAAACATCGATCAGCTGCCTCCTGCATACCCCCTACCGGGACCCTTGAGTCCACAGGCTGATGCTCTATCCACTAAGCCAAACCGATTAGGGCTTGCTTTTTAAATAAGTGGGTAAAGTTAAAACAACCTTACAAACACTTCTCATTTATCAAGTGCAACCTGATAATGATACTAACTTTATGAGCAGCATCACAATAGCCCCACAGTCAGCCCATGAGACAATTTCCTTTCGGGTCCTGGTTTGGGGATGGGGCAGCGTTTTGCTGTTCCAGAGAGAAGTGGGCAGAGGTGGAATGTCTGGAGGGGGCGGCTCCTCGGAATCTCTCCGGCATCCGAGTGGCTTGGCAGCAGGTGTGGGGATGTGGGAGGCAGGGAAAGTGTCGTAATGAGCCTCATCTCACAGCCCTGAGAGGTCTGTGAGACACACGCGCAGATGCCACTGAGAGGCCATTCAGAGGAGCACGTTGCTGTCGGCCATCTGGCCGCCTGGTGCTGAGCTCACATTCCTGAGTCTAAGTGCAGAGTCAGCACTGAGCCGCTCAGGTGAACCTGCCGAGGGAAGCCGAGACTTCGCACCCTACACCCAGCCCCAATGCAAGGAAAAAGGGGGGCCAGACAGGGACTCCCGGCCACACGCTTCTGCCTCTCTCTTTTCCGACTTGGAAGGTGGTGAGGGGTGAATGAGCCGGCCCCTCTGCCTTCTCCCCAGGAGGTGGGAGCAGAGTGACGCTTTGCTCTTGTGCGGGGAGAGCCAATGTCAGTGCTTTGGGCAATGCTGGTTGTGCCTGTAAGGTGCCAGGTGCTGGTTTGTGTTATTGAAAACACACACACACACACACACACACACACACACACACACACATGATCTTGGCTGCTACTGGCAACTCTATGGGCTACAAGTGTTCACCGGGGCAGAGGCATTAGGGAGCATCTCTGAAGTCAGTTCTTTCTGTCTCTCACGCCCCTCAACTGAGGCTAGCAGGCCAGTGGGTGCTTCGGCAGCAGGCACCTCCGGGGCCCGGTGGTGCAGGAGAAAGAGCAGGAGCGGGCACTCTTAGTCAGTGCTGGCAGGCGGCAGCCGGGGCAGCTTTCGAAGAGTGGTGTGGTAGTTTAGACCCAGAAGCCTTAAAAATGTGCACAATGTTTGACTCAGCAAACACATAAGAACACTGCCAGATGGTTTTCCAAAAACGATTTCTCTACGAGGAAGCATGTTATTTACAATCACAGAGAGCTAGAAATAACTGCCATGTCCAATAGTGGAGGATTAGTTAAACAAAGGACAGTGCATTCATACAGTGGAATGCGGTGTAGTATTTGAAATTCTAGTTATAGAAGAGGAAATATCATGGGAGAATATTCACAAGTGAACATGGTCAAGTGAAAACACAGGTTAATAAGAAGCCTATGTATTTGTATGATAAGCTCACATTTATTTTTAAAAAGTGCATTTGAATATGAGCATAGATTGATGACTAATAAATATATCAAAACATAAGTATCATTTCAGCATTTGCAAGACCATGATTTTGATTCTTTTCTTTGTGCTTTTTGGTACCTTGTTGGTGGAGTGTAGGCAGCAGTCAGACTATCTAGGTTTCCTTTGGCTCCGGCCATTGGAAGAGGCCAATGTCTTCAAGAGCCCTTATTAAAATTGTTTCCTTCTGCCCATGAGCCTTCACTCCCACTATCTGACAGTCATTTAATGGCCTCCTTCTGCCCTGTGGAGTTGGGACGTGCTTTTTTGAACATCATGAGGCCAGTGCATTTGGTGTGTCAGTGAATTTCCTGGCTTGTACACCTGCCTCTGAAGACACAGAGACCCAGGTGACCAGCATTTACATATTTCTATGGAGCCACCATTTATAAAAAGTGTTTAATTTTTTTTTTAATTATGGGAAACTAGACATAGCATAAAATGTACCACCTTAACCACTTTGAAATGTTCTGTTCAGTTGTGTTAAGTACATTCACATTATTGTGCAGCAAAAAGAAACCTTTTCGCCTTGGAAGACTGAAAATCTCCACCCATGAAACAACTCCCCATTTTTCCCTCTTTCCAGACCCAGCAGCCACCTGCCCCTCCCCTTTCTGTTTCTATGAATCTGACTACTCTAGGTACCACATAAAAGTGGAGTCAGAATTTCCTTCCTTTTAAAAAAGATTTTTATTGATTTCTCAGAGGAAGGGAGAGAGAAAGAGAAAGAGAAGCGAGAAAGAGAGAGAGAGAGAGAGAGAGAGAGAGAGAGAGAGAGAGCGATCAACGATGAGAGAGAATCATTGATTGGCTGCCTCCTGCACACCCCACACTAAACCCACAACCCAGGCATATGCCCTGACTGAGAATTGAACAATGACCTCCTTGTTCATAGGTCAGTGCTCAATCACTGAGCCATGCTGGCTGGGTAGAATTTCCTTCCTTTTTAAGGCTTAATAAAAGCCCATTGGATGCGTAGACCACATGTGTTTATCCACTCACCCATCAGTGGACACTTGGCTTGCTTCCACCTCTTGGCTATTGTGAATAATGCTGCTAAGGACATGACTGGACACATATCTCTCTAAGACCCTGCTTTGAATTTTTCTGGCTTAGGATCCAGAGGTGGAATTCTATATTATATGGTAATTCTATATTTAATTTTTCAATGGTTTAACTTTTCTGTGATTTCCAACGGGGCTGCCCCATCATACATTCCCCACCAGCAGTTCCCTCAGGTCTCTGTGTCACTGTGGAGGAGCATCTCAACCACGACTGCCCTAACCCCCTCTCCTCTCTCTTGGGGCTCAGGTCAGTCCATTGTGGGCTGCAAGGCCATCCTCATCGACGACCAGGTGTTTGTGGTGGTGGCCCAGCTCTTCGGCGGCTCTCACATCTACAGGTACGACGAGAGCTGGACCAAGTTTGTCAAATTCCAAGACATCGAAGTCTCTCGCATCTCCAAGCCCAACGACATTGAGCTGTTCCAGATCGAGGACGAGACATTCTTCGTCATCGCCGACAGCTCGAAAGCCGGCCTGTCAACGGTTTACAAGTGGAACAGCAAAGGGTTCTACTCCTACCAGTCCCTGCACGAGTGGTTCAGGGACACGGACGCTGAGTTCGTGGACATAGACGGGAAGTCGCACCTGATCCTGTCCAGCCGCTCCCAGGTCCCCATCATCCTGCAGTGGAATAAGAGCTCCAAGAAGTTCGTCCCCCACAGCGACATCCCCAACATGGAAGACGTGCTGGCCGTGAAGAGCTTCCGCATGCAGAACTCTCTCTACCTGTCCCTCACCCGGTTCATTGGGGACTCCAGGGTCATGAGGTGGAATAACAAGCAGTTCGTGGAGATCCAGGCTCTCCCGTCCCGGGGGGCCATGACCCTGCAGCCCTTTTCTTTCAAAGAGAATCACTACCTGGCCCTGGGGAGCGACTACACGTTCTCCCAGATCTACCAGTGGGACAAGGAGAAGCAGCTGTTCAAGAAGTTCAAGGAGATCTATGTGCAGGCGCCCCGCTCCTTCACGGCCGTCTCCACTGACAGGAGGGATTTCTTCTTTGCGTCCAGTTTCAAAGGGAAAACAAAGATTTTTGAACACATAGTTGTTGACTTAAGCTTGTGATCGGTGACTTTAAAGGACACACAGCACGAGCTCTCGGGAGAGAACCGAGAAAACATATGTAAAGGGAAGCCAGGTTCAGAGGTCTGACACGAACACTGCATTGGGGAAATAGACGTGTTCCAATGTTTAGAACTCACATTTTAATCAGGGATTACATTTATTGGCTAACTGCATGCCACGTCCATCCTCCCATTTAAAAAGACATAGAGAAGCCTCTAATTCCTGAGAAACGAGTACAGTAGTAACTCATACCATCTAGGAAAGTAATGTGATATTTTTTTTTAAATGAGGAAAGAGAAAATCAGATAAGATAGGACAGCTCTTAACAATGAAATTTTTAAAAAGACCAAACAAACTATGGGCCCGTCTCACCCCATTTTAGCTATCTTTCTGGTAAGGACTCTTAAAGCCAAAGTCAGCTGAAAAGATTTGCTGATGGTAAGTTTAAAAATCGGGTAACACTCAGCATTGCTATTTTGAGCCCTCCCAATTTCCAAACATCCCCCCCCCCCCCCCAACTCCCTTTCCCAGCAGAACCTTGGCAATTGCATTGGCTCATATGGATGCTTGTCATGGGCGTGTCAACACGATAATGTTTGATGAATTGCTTCCTTTGCTAAAAAAAAAAAAATATTCTGCTGACACCTGTCTAGGCCCAGCATGGGCTGTGGGCCCAGGAGGGAGACAAAGAAGGTCTCCTCTTCCTGTGGTTCAGCGCTGACCCCCGTGGTGGCTGGAGCAGCAATGCCTGTTCGATGCTCTCCCTGATGCGTTGCTTCTCAGAACCCACTCTCTGAGTTTGCAGGTCGCCAGCAGACAGCCCAAAGACCGAATGGTGCTTTCTATTCTGTCCTTTAGAGCAATAGAAGAGGGTTTGCCATCTGATGAGCATTTCCGAACCAAGAGTTTGTAGAGTCTAGGAGGACCTCACACACATCTCCATGTACTTTGAAACCTAGAGATGGCCCTTGGATTGATGCATGCCTTTGCCCCCTTAATGGGCAACTTAATATTTCAAGTAATTGAATAGCAACCTATCTACCTGTCCACCTGCCTACCTCCCTGCTCATGTAGCCATCTGCTTTATTGATTTGCTGATATTGCTGCTGCCAGCTCAGTCCTTCCAAAGGTGCTGTAGCACCAAATTGTAGAAGCCGGGGTACTCAGGACAGCACACTCCTCCCTGTTCCTGTCCTTTGCTCCCTCGGGGACATGTGCTGATAGGGGGCTTTACACAGAAAGGGGTGGGGGAGCGCGGTGGACTGAACAATAGGGACCAGCTTAGGAGCCGGACACGTAGAATCCCATAGACTGGGTCTGCACTCAGGGGCCCAGGTGGCCTGTTTCCAAATGGGTCTCTCTGGTGTGGACCATCAGGAAGCGCATGGGGACAGGGATCTGGTTTTGTGGAGGGTCCAGGGGGTGTTCTGCCTGGTTAGCTGGCTCTCTTCAGAGAATAGGAAGGGGATGGTTTCAGGAGTGGCTCTCAAAGAGTAACCCCACCACTCGTAGCCATGAGCATAGCATCATCGCTGTACTGTATTACTTTTTTAATGATTTGTGTTTGCCAAGTCATGAGTAGGTAGATGTTTTGACACAAATATGAATGTGTGTGTTGTTTCCAGACTGTAAGCAATGCGGACCGAGGCAATAAATAGCACTTAGAGAACAATGCGCTGATGTCACAGCAGCTCTCTTGGGCACATTCTGGGACTGAAGGCCGCTCCCAGTCTCGGACACCAGGGACCTTCATGAACTAGCTCATTCACACACGGTGGCCTTGTTGCTTGGGATGTTTCCATGAGGCACCGAGGGAACCGGAGAAAAGTGGCGTGTTGTCTGTCATTTTTAAGCACCAATGATTTTCTCCTGTGTTCTTTCCTCTTCCTGGTTGTTTGCATTGACTGCAAATGCCCCAATCCCTGCATTGGCGGCTGGATGTGGGAGAGCTCAGCTACTCCTCGGGTTGTCACAATGGTCAGACTATTCTTTCTGGCACATGGAACCCTTCTGACAAGGCTGGGTGGGAAAACAGGTTCTTGGCGAATAGTCAAGTAGGAGACGTTTAGACAGCCCAGCCCTGTGCCAGATCGAAATGATGTTCCCAATTCAGATGTTTATAGAGAAGGCAACTGCTCCAACATCACGGTGTTGTCTCTACAGAGCTGTGTACTAGTCTTTCAGCTTCACCGCTGGGGATGGAATTAGAGGCTAATCACGTGCAGTCACCACCCTGATCACCATTGCCCAGAATCTGGAAAACCAGGGAGCACAGGGTGCCGGGCTGGGTGTGGGGGGACTGGTGAGATAGGATGTCCAGGTGAGACAGGATGAAAGAAAAATCCCAAGCTTATGATGGAGGCGGGGATCGGAGGGAGCAGGGGTGGGGAAGCCACTCAGTTGCAATCAGGATTTCTTTTCTGTTTCTTTTAAAAAAAACTTTCAGACAAGATCCTCGTTTGCAGTCCCTAGAGTCCCTGCCCTGAGGGAGGAGATATTGGTTCTGGCCGACTTAAGGAGTGGAGATGTTCTTGGCGCCAGGCGATGGAAGCTTTGCTTCATTAATCTTACTGCTCCATCCCAAGAGTCCCTCAAGTTTTAAACAATTTCTGCAAGAAGATTTCTTCCCGTAATAAATGTAAGAGAAAAAAACTCCAAGCAACAATAAGAATTCAAAGCGGGGTGTCTTGGGGGACCATCCCTGTAGAGATAGCATCAGGAGGGGCTGTGCTTTTTGCTCCGTTCCTTCCCATCACCCACTGCTTGATCATCTCTGCTGGTTTTGTCTTTACAATTTTGGTGGTGTGACTCCCAGACTGAGTCCCTGCACCTAGCCATGAGGCCAAGACATAGCTTTAAAGTGAGGACCTGACCCCAAACTCTACAGAGCCAGGAACAGATCCCTTATGAAGACTAAAAATAAGTCTTCAGATTGAATGGCGCTGTGTCCTTAGACAGTGGCTGGTAAGACCACCTTTATATTTTTCCATGTAGATTTGTATTCATCTTCTTTGTTCATAAATAGTTCTCCAGTTTTTTTGGAGGGCAGATATTTTTCCATTTACAGTGAGAAGGAATAGACACAAAAGTTCTAAGTCAGTTGCCTGTTCAAGATTCTTTATAGTGAGTGGCAAAACTGGAACATGACCAGAAATTCTGGAAAACCAGGGACTTGCCCTCTGCCCAACAGACTGTACTTTTTTCCTGTGAGCACTGCTAGGCCCTCCAAATGAACATGTTTTAATCAGGATTTTGAAGATAGCAGCACCTTGAGAGAAAATTTTAAAAATGCAACCAAATGTGGATATCCAGAGGAAAAGAGTGCTGACTAGACACCATCCAATCAACTGGTCCATTTCACAATTAAACACCGCACAACTGCCGTTACAATGAAAGACCCCACTCTTGAAAGTCTTCCAGAAGTTGCAGGTAATCTTCTGTTCTCAAGAGGGTTTCTAACGGGCCCAGTTGCCTCTCCCCTCACATAGCTAAGGGAAAGATGCTGAGGTTAAGACGGGTCTGGTTCTTGTCACAATGTCCACAAGATAAACAAGAACAGCTCCACGAGGGGGAAAACTAAAACTGTGATGCACGAGTGATGATGAATTGCTCTGGGCTACAGTCAGCCTTCAGGGAGCACGCTGGGAATGGCAGGGCTGCATTTCTCTTCCCTGTGGAGTGAGAGGCTGTGTATTTTTAGGGAAGAAATCAGCGTAGGATGCTGGAACACTCACGATGGAAATCTGGCTGCCAGGAACACTCAGGATGGAAATTTCTCCACCGGGGTGTAATGGAAGAGAGATGAAGGTCTGCGGGAGGGGAATCTATTTGCATGCCTCCTAAAGAAAATCTCTTGAGCCAGCTTCCTGATTCTTCTGCAGAAGTATCAGCCCCTCGCTCAAAGCAGTAGAGTTAATTAGGCAGTGACCAGAGCTTCTGTTAAATGGCACCCTGGAATAGAATGCAATAACCCAGCTGTCGACACAGTGAGTAAGATGGTCCAGACTTGGGGGAGAGGGAAAGGAAATGGATAGAAAAGCAGGGCAGATGGCTGTGGAGGAGACTCTTTGGGGAACATGGAAGTGAACTGGAGGAAAAGAACAAGTCATAATGATTTCCTTCGCCTCAGCCAGGCAAGTAGACGGTGGAACGACCAGGCAAATGAACAGCATCCTAATTATTAATGGAGAGAGCCGCTAATAGTGCTAATGAGAATAAGAATTATCTGGAAAGCTACTGAAATCTAAACCGAGGCACTCTGATCCCTACATGATTCCATTGCTTGTCTCAGAATCCACCTTTTTTTTTTTTTTTTCTAGTAGGAAACTATGCATTCCCCATCACTCCCTTTAACTATCAGGAATGCATAAGACCTGTGAGAAAATAGGCCAATATGCCATTTGGTACCATTTTTAAGTATTTTAAATGCATAACTTAGGCAACGTAAGAATAGTTTATCTGTCTATGAAAGCAAATTTTGTGGTATGCAAGCTACAAGGAATGCGTTGTTAAGGCCGAACGTATATTTAGCTCCTTTTGGTAAATAGAGTTAACAAATGATATGCCTCTTAATTCACTATGTCCTGTATACCTATGAATAAAAAATAGCTCCTGCCTACTATGGCTTTGATCTCTGGTCTGCTTGCATATTGATACGTCCATCTGAGTTCTAGAGTTGAAGGGATGCCTACCCAGGGCAGCTGAGTGTGCCCAGGTGTCTTTGTGGCTTAGTCCCTGTTTAAGAGGAAGATGGGCACCACAAGGCAGAGTTACAGTATGCAGAGCAGGGGACACCCTCGCTCTCTGCATGCAGACTGGGAGGGGAAGGGGAAGGCTGGCTTGGCATGTCAGGTTCTCTGTGCTAACTCACCAGTCACATTAGGACACCACCACTGACTCAGATGGAGAGTGGAACATGCAGGTTGCCTCTGGGAGTATTGTGCTCTAGGAGTCTCATCCATGTGGAAGGAGATATCCGGAGTAGAAACGAAGCCTCATGCCACCCTCCCCCCCAAACGTCAACAACTCAGGGACAAGGCAGTGTCTCCATATTTAAGCGGATCTGGGGAGCTCAAGCTTCCTACTTCTTACCATCTATTTGCACGTTGTCCACAGAGGCCAGAGAAATGCATGTAACCACTTGGAAAGGATCTTTTTGGTATGAAAGAGACCAGATGACAAGGGAAATTTGCCAGCGCTGAGAGAGGACCCCTGGCAGGTGGCAGGAGCTGATAGAATTCAGTAAAGCTCTGTTCTTTTTCACAATCCCTTTTGTAGATTTTTATTTTCTATTTTATCCTTTCCCTTTGAATACAGTGTGCTCTCATGTCATTCTGGATCCTAAATTTCTTTCAGTAACACACAAAATCAGGAGAACTTTCTGGCATTTCATATTTTTAGCAAAGTGGAGTATCTGCTCCACTTACTAGAAATGACACTTTCTCCCACCGCTTCCATCTGCATTTATGTTCTGCGCAGACTGCTGAGCTAGCTTTCCCCCCTTAGGTTTACTGCCGATGCATTTGCATTTCGGTCACAATAAATAACCAGTGAAACCCTCCAATGAGTAGGTTCCAGAACGGGTCTCTCTCAGCATGGAACTACAGACTATCATTTCTAGTCAGGATGGCTCAGAGGAAGAAGAAAGTGGACTTTTGCAAAGAAAAAAATAAGTTAATTCAAACAAATGCTCCCTGAGCCATTAGGAAATTAAAGATGAAACTGACATGGGGATTGGATAGCCAGTTAAGCCGTGAGTGTGGAAAGAGCCACAGCAGGAGGAAACTCTCATTTCAGAGGCTGTATCTGTGTCTGTCATCACTGTTTCCCTGTCACCCCTCATGTCACCTAACCCAAAAGTGTTCCCCAATCGATATTCTCTGAAAGGATATGATTGAAGGTGTTAAGTAGAGGGTGTTACATGCCTTAACTCCGCTTATTCTCACAACTATTCCATGAATCAGGCACTCTTATATCTTATATCCCCATTTCACAGATGAGAAAGTGGAGGCACAAAGAGGTTGAAGGATTCCCTGGGTTGTACAGCTAAAGATCAGCAATATCAGGAAGCCCTGGCCCAGAGCACTTAGGTAACTTGCTCAAGTTCGTAGAGTGAATAAGACTTGGGGTAGGAACACACTTAGTTCACTTCCAGAAGGGGGTGGGAAATATGCAGGATTTATGTTAAATTTACATTTCAGATAAAACCCCAAAATTTAAAGCTTAAGAATGACCCAAATATTGCAAGACATATACTAAAAATTATTCTTTGTGTTTCTAAAATTCAAGTGTTAATAAATACAGTATCCTGTACTTTTTAAAATATATTTTTATTCATTTCAGAGAGGAAGGTAAAGGGAGAGAGAGAAAAAAATATCAGTGATGAGAGAGAGTCATTGATTGGCTGCCTCCTACACACCCCACACTGGAAATTGAGCTCTCAACCCAGGCATATGCCCTGACCAGGCATTGAACTGTGACCTTCTGGTTCATAGGTCGATGCTCAACCACTGAGCTACACCAGCTGGGACATCCTGTATTTTTATTTGCTAAATCTGGCAACCCTAATCCAGAGCCCACACTTTGTATATATGAAAGAAGAAGGAAGCCCTTGAGGGCTAAGCCAGCTGTTCAAAGTCAAGTAGCAAGTGAGTAGCTCAGCAGGAATTCAAACCAGAGCTGTCTGATTCTCAAGTTGAGACCAAATAATGCTTTAGACAGGCCAGGCTAAGAAATGAAGTCAAATCATGCATCGACTCACACACCACTCAAGCCTGCAAAAAAATTAAGCTTCTGTATTTGTCCTCTGATCAACCTAATATATTGTATGAACTCCATCCCACTGGATAATGAGTAAACGAAATATAAGCCAATCCAGTAAACTCAGTCTAATGCACGGTTTAAACAGTCTCCTTAGCATTCAGGCTGTGGTGAGTTAAACACACAATTTTCAGATTTCCACTCTTTGGGTTTCACCTTCAGGAGAACTTTCAAGGACCTTGTGACAGAAGGAGAGGATAGGGATGGTTCCTCACAGGCATGTAGAATTTTCTAGATACTCCTTCACCTTTACCCTGACCTGGTTTGATACCTGACCTTGGGGCTACTAAGGTCTGGCTGAGCCTATATAATTTACTGAGTGAACTCGGGCAGGTCTCCTCATCTGCAAAGCTGTGGTTTTAATGGTACCTACCTCACAAGCCGAATTCAAAGATTACATGAGATATTAAGTGGAAAGCGCTTTGAGCAATGCCTCACATTTGGCAAATGCTCAATACGCGTCACCTGTTTTGCTGTTGTTGGGCAGGCCCATCACTGGATCTTGGCCATTTGCCCCAGTCCTAGGCATTTAGCATGGGCCTCTTTGTTCCCCTTGCAGGCCACCCTGCCAACCCCCTCAGCACCCAGGTCACCTCACCAGGGCACAGAAATGTTGAGATTCCCTGGGGCCAGAAGTACTGCTCTGTCAGGGCCCTTGTCCCTCCCCATGTGCCATGTAGGAAGAGGCCACTTGGTGGGCTTCTCCTAGATCCTGGCAGCCTCTGCTTGGAATGCATGGCAAGTAGAATTCTTCACCCTCCCCCTGACCTCTGCAGCATCCCTCCCACCCTACTTCCAGGGCCTTGCCCCTGCTTTTCTCTTCTTCCTCCCACAATCCCCAATGAAAAAAGTAGAAGGCATGGCCTTCCAATTTCCTCTGCCTCAGCTCTGCTTCTTTCTCCTCTGTGTTATGGTAAAATGATTCAGTTGGCCAATGAAACTAGAGGAATTTAGACAATTCTTTTGTTTTGACAGTGCCTGGCTGTCAAGACTATTGTCTTGCTAAAGAGGTCAAGGAAGGCAGCTTAGAGACTCCAGCTGATGAATGGCCTCTTTCTTCTGGGTAGAACCTGCCCTTGCCTTCCCTGGGGCAGCTGGGAGTTATTATTATCCCCAGGAGAAGCACTCTGGCAGTTCCACTAGGTGGGGCTGTTGGAGAAGGGAACTGAGCCTCAGATGCCAGAATGTCCCAACATCCTTCCTGGCTGGGGACACCTGAGAGGGTGGCCTGGCTGGTGGAGCCCTGAGGGCACCTCTGGGATTGCAGCCTAGGGCCAGGGCTCTGGACTCTGGCTTTCTTGGGATGCTCCTATGAGCTGTGCAAGTCCAGACCGAGGGCTTCTCAAAGCAGGTACAACCCCGAAAATCAGTGGAGTGAACCTAATTTAGGGGCCACGTCACAAGGTGCTGGGACTCACACCTCCAGTTGGCTCACTACACTCATGCTTCCTCAGGGTTGGTCAGTTGCACCAGCCACCAGGAGCAGCAAAAGTGGGATGAAGGAAATAAATGTTTCTACCTATTACATGAGAAAATGCCTGACTGAAGAGTCATAAAACACCAGAGCATGGTTGGAAAAGCCTGCTTTCTAATGGTATTGTGTAGGCTGGGGATTCTTCAGAGGGACAGAAAGACATCTGCCAAGAGGCTCAAACAAGCCTCAGTAGAAGACCAAGGAGTGAGTATGTGGTATAAACAAAGATGATGCACATTCAGAAAGCAAGTTTTGAATATAAGCCGCAAATGAAAATTCAGCCAGGACCGGTTTGTTTCAGTGGAAAGAGCATCGGCCTGTGGACCGAAAGGTCCCAGGTTCGATTCTGGTCAAGGGCATGTACAGTGTTGCGGGCACATCCCCAGTAGGTGGTGTGCAAGAGGCAGCTGATCGATGATTCTCTCTCATCGATGTTTCTAACTCTCTACCCCTCTCTCTTCCTCTCTGAAAAATCAATTAAAAAAAATTCAATTATGTAGGTGACACAGGCTGTATTTTCCAAATTTGGCCACAGCAATACCTTCCATCCAAGGTTGGAATCAGGATGGGCTTATGGCCCACTTTCTTTTTTCTTTAATTTTTTTATTTTATTGATTTTTTACAGAGAGGAAGAAAGAGGGATAGAGAGTTAGAAACATTGGTCAGCTGCCTCTTGCACGTCTCTACTGGGGATGTGCCCACAACCAGGGTACATGCCTGCTGGAAACCAAATCAGTTTCACTGAAAAAGAGATGTTGACAGGAAGCCAGGAAGGCTGGTCAACAACCTTAATTGCTCTAACCTTTAGTTGAGATTATGTTAGCTGAAGCAGAATCTACCTTATTTGTCCTGTGTAAGTTTCTGTTATTTCCTGCCCAGGGGCTACATGTAAATTTCTGTTTATATTGCTTAAGATGTTTTCCCCAAAGCCTCAATAAAAGGGGATGGCAGGGCCAGAGCAAGAGTAGTTCTCCCACTAGAGTTGGACTACCGCCTGGCCCCCCATATCGCCAAATTGAATTTCAAGTCTCTTCATTTGTGTGCGGCCCTTCTCCAGAAGCTGAACCCTGAATTGGAACTCTTTCTACGCGGGCTGTGAAAGAGAGTCCTATACATGCCCTTGACCGGAATTGAACCTGGGACCTTTCAGTCCGCAGGCTGACACTCTGTCCACTGAGCCAAACCAGTTTTGGCATTATGGCCCACTTTCACCCAATAAAACACAGCAGAGCTAGTTCTGGGACTTCTAAGGATGAATAATAAAAGATGGGTTAGGTTTCTCTATTGCATAACAAATGACCACACACACCGTGGTTAACCATGGCACT